AATTATCACAACTATATATTTAATATTACTCCCACTAGTGTAGTATACTACTCCCTTACAAGTCCTAAGTGTGTGACCCTTTAGGTATCCATAACACTGGCAATGATATTAATATAAATTAATACCATAGATAATAAGCGGTATCTAGCAACACATTATTACCCCCAGATTATGAAAAAGACGTTCATCTCATCAATACCTTCTACGACACAAGACATTCTATAACTATTATCCTTCTGTCCTAAATGTCATGATTTAACACAAGGCATTGGATGTGTATCCTTGTATAGTTAAATCAGCTGTTACTGAATCTCAAGTAGACTGGCAGGGATCAGATATTTATCAGTCTCTAGATAGCGGTGTATCTGGGCATGGCCATACACTTTCCCAAGTCCTACTATTCAGTGGGCCCATTGACATTATACTTCTATACAGTAGAAGGGACAGATCCTGTATCTGTTATTCACATCTCTAAATATGCTTAGCGGTATACCCAACGCATAACTGTACGTCTACCAGTATTTCAGATAGCATTAGTTATGAATCAAAGCATACGGCCCCACATATCAGAGAATGTAATAACTTCAAGTCTGAGGATAGTTATAGCAAGGTGGATTTGAGAATACTGATAAACACATTACTGTAGATCCATGCAGTATTCTCAAGATGGGTCAATCCAGTCACATATTATCAATATAATATGCACCTACGTACAGATTAAGATATCACAATACCTATAGTCTATGAGACGCAACTATCTCATCTCGTACGTACTAGTCTTGATACGTTATGACGTTCGTATTATCATAAAGTGTGACTAGGGATATTCTAGACACAGCCTTCGTCAAGAAGTAACAGTCTCATAATCAGAACATCGTAGTCCTCATCTATGTTACTGAAGCGCTATCGTCTATGGACTGAAGCTATGTTATGTTACACGAGATATAAAACATACTTCAAGGCCTTTCATTCATGATAAAGTGTACAGTTACATAGGTATTTGATTGCCGCTAGGGCACCTAAATACAACAATCTCCCACTTGCCCTAAGGCCAATCAAGCATTTCTCGAATGCCCATGGACCACGTATGACTCTCGTGTTTAGGCTTTCCCAAAGCCTTCGTCAACGGATCCGCGATATTGTCGTCTGTACCTATCTTGCAAATCTCAACGTCCCCACGTGCAACGATTTCTCGTATGATGTGATAACGTCTAACGATGTGTTTGGTCTTCTGGTGAGACCGAGGTTCTTTCGCTTGTGCAATTGCCCCATTGTTGTCGCAAAACAACGGTATAGGGTTCTTGATGCTAGGAACCACTCCAAGCTCAGTAATAAAATTCTTGAGCCACACACCTTCCTTGGCTGCCTCGGCT